GGAATTCTGGGAGTTGAAGTCCACTCATCTTAAAGTGGCCAAGTTTGGACAACACCGCCCATATCCTATATATCAGGGTGGAAAACGTACAGCCCTCCAGTCTAGCTGGGACTGTTGGAACTGGGAAGATCATCAATGTCTGGAGTGCCAATGATTCCTCTGCTTTACCTGTTCTTTCCTCAGTGCTGCTTGGCTTTGAGAACCTAGTGCTATTTTTGTTTATAATGAAACAACTTCTTTGGTGTTTAGTGGAATAGGATGGGTTGCCCTGCAGCCTTAAAGTTACAACTGGAATTGTTTAGAAAAAGTGGCATTGAGCACTATCCATTTATTTGGCTGGCTCTGTGGTAGGCATATCTCTGTATAGCTTGTACAGAGTTTGTATACTCCACCAAGCCGTGTACAATGATCAAAGGGTGATCTGGAGGCTGCCAAGTTAAGGACAGCTGCTGTAATATCAATCAATATAGTCTGTATGGTCAATGATAATGTTCAGAATTTGCAACCTCAGGTAGTAATTCTCTTTTTTTCCCCACAGATATATTTAAGAGACTATCACTTTAAAAATGCAAAAACAGATGATTTCTGGAAATCAATGGAAAAGGTACGTTCTCTTTCTCATCATTCAATTCATACTTTTCTCCAGTAGCTTCTGACCTTGCATCAGAGAAGAGGTAATAATTTAACGTTGATTGCACTTTTCTTGTTGTTCTGATGGCACAATCAGGAGAAGACAAGGAGACCACAAATGAATCAAAGAATTAGGAATTGATGAGTCTAATAGCAATTTTCAGCTTTTTTCTGTGCACTTATCACCCAACTGCCAAAATTCTCTGGATGGGTTTGTAAAGGAAACAAGCTGAAACAGCGAAGCAAGGCTCAAAGAAAAAGTACCAAAGCTTTTTTTAACCTAGATGGAAACTCAATTAAGTTATGCCCATTATCTTCGGGTATGAACCAACTACAAGGTTTGGTTGGAGGCCCAAATGATAATCTTGAAAATACTCAGAGAAGCTGACCAAAAAGAAAGAAAAGTGTACATTTAGTACAAGAGGCGCCACGAAAGCTCCAGCTACAATTTAATATCAGTGTGTCACAAATAAATGAATTACTCAAAAACCTCCAGGAAAATTTATGTCATTTTCATTTTTCTTGTTCAAGACCAGTACACATTTGAATTCATTGTTTCTATTTTTCCTTTGTTTTAAAGCTGATAATGTGATGGGGTACAACAGTGGAATGAGGTTCATTCTCATTTGGGGATAACTTGCAACCCCAGTAAGTGGGGTATCGTAGGATTCTGCAACTCTTCTGAGCTAGAACCAGTCCAGTTTGAGTCAGGCCCAGTTTGAAAGTGGCATCCAAGAAACCGAAATTTTGTACCACCCATTAACTAACAATGTAAAGCCATACAGAGTTGCATTTTTTTTTTCAACGTAATGGAATGAAAAGTGCAGATACCTTACATTCTTCTAAGAGTTAAAGCAATTTTCAGTTTGGGACTTAGTTTACTTTCAAATCTAGGTTTACTCTTTTCTTTGAAGTAAAGTGCCTACAACCTTTTTCTGTGTTTCAGATAGAATTGTAGCCAAAACATAATATCAGACTAATATAAGTGGCCTTTGGTGTATGAGGGAAGAATTCCAGTGGCCTTAATAACCACACTAAATGCAGAAGACAAGCCAATAAGTTTTCCTCCATAATTATTGCCCCCTCTGATGAGAAAAGTCTCCAGAGCTTTTTCCTAAGCCAGGGCTTGTCTTTGAAAACTGCAATTTCTTTCCTACACTTTACACTTGGCTGTACCAAGATCTCTTTTTATTTTTTTTATTATGTTCATGATAACACACCTCTTGATTTTATTTTATTTTATTTTATTTTATTTTATTTTATTTTATTTTATTTTATTTTATTTTATTTTATTTTATTTTATTTTATTTTATTTTATTTTATTTTATTTTATTTTATTTTATTTTATTTTATTTTATTTTATTTTATTTTATTTTATTTTATTTTATTTTATTTTATTTTATTTTATTTTATTTTATTTTTCACTATTGCAATTTTCTCTTGAACTCTTATGCAGAGGGAAGAAGATATCAGAATGACATGTCACTTCTGATAGTTGTCGCCAGTATTTCTGTCCAGAAACTTCAAAAGATGGCTATCAAATATAATAATGGAAGTAATATAGTGATCCTCTGTGCTATTACTAACTTTCACTAAATATAGTTACAATATTTGGACAAGTTGCATCTATGTGATTTCTAAAGCTGGTGTTTAGAAATGGAAATAGTTCTCTTTAAGGATTCTATCACTAGAACAGCCAAATTATTACTATTTTTCCAGACTGCTTTTGCTTTCTCAACATGACTATCCATTGTTATTCTTAGGCAAGTGGGAAGCCTGTCAAAGAAGTGATGGACACATGGACCAGGCAGATGGGATACCCTGTGCTAAAAGTTCATTCAAACTCAACAGTCACACAGCAACGTTTTCTATTGGATCCCAAAGCAGACTCTTCCCAACCATCTTCTGAATTTAGGTATCTGCTGTATAACAGTTTGATATGATGTTGCTAAGCTGACCACAGTTCAAACTGCGGCAGTTTGTTTTCTCAAAGATCTTCACCAGGTTGTCCTTATGCATATAATTGATATTACGGCAAAATGGTTGATTTGATTCTTATATTAGGAATGGAGAACCTGTGAACCTTCAGATGTTGCTTTGGTGTAACTTCCATTTGTATGCCAGCTGATCCTAATGACTGGAATTGATGGAATTTGGAGCCTAACATGCCAATCCATGCCTTCAGATTGCCAATCCATGCCTTACTTAACTGCAGTAAACTAAGTCTATTTTTCTCCCAAATCAACCATGGTTCTACAGACAGTGAAGTTAATCAATGAACCCACCTATTTCATTAATTTCAGTAGCTTGATCAGTCATTGCTTGGCTGGAGAATTATTCATTCCTCATTGACAGAACATATGTTTATATTTAGAAGATCCCTAAAGAAAAAACAGCTGCCAAATCAGTTTAAATAAAACTGAATTAGATGGGCAGACAGGCTGACACAGTGAAGGCAGCCTTCTATATTGCTGGAACTGTTGCTAATTTCTAGAGCTGAACTAATATATTCTGAGTTGTTATAAAAGCATTCGGTTCAAATAATTTGCCAATATCTTGATTGCTTTTCTCCTGATAATTAAATAACATGCGTCAAGCTTCAACCTGTTACTGGAGAAATGCCACTTAGTATTTTGAGAACATTAGATCTAAATGTGATGATATCACTATAGGAGGGGAGGAAAAGAAGAGGTGAACCTGCAACAGTGGCTCCTGCCATTTCACCACTTAGTTGGATTACTGTAATGCACTGCACATGAGACTGCCTTTGAAGACCACATGGAAGCTTCAGTTAGTCCAGAATGCAGTAGCCCAGTTGTTGATGGGTACTTGCCAACATGAGTGCATTACATCAGTGCTTCAGGCCCTGCACTGGCTTGCTATTAGCTTCCATGTGCAATTCAAAGTGCCAGTTTTAACTTTTGAAGCCTACATGGCTTGGCTCTGAAGTATCTTCAGAACCGTCTCATCCACTCAGTTTCAACCCACCTGATATGGGGTTCCTGAAAAAATCTATTAGTACTCCCCATTTCCAGGAGGCCTGGATGGAGGACTGCAAACTCTGTTTTTCTATGGCAGTGCCGATTCTATAAACTCCCTGCCCTCTGAAAGCCAGTCAGTTCCTGCCTTGTTGGGCGTCAGGAAATTATTAAAAACAGAAATGTTTAAGAGGTTGAGTTATAAATGTTACTATTTATATTGCTTTCTGGTTCTTTTATGCATGCTTCAATTATTACTTATTGTTAAGTAAGATGACATATGCTCTTCTATTGCTGAGATTGTAACTTACCAAGAGTATCTTCATTCTGCAACAGGTTAAAAAAATTGAATAAAGAATAAATTACATAGGAAGGAAGGAAGGAAGGAAGGAAGGAAGGAAGGAAGGAAGGAAGGAAGGAAAAGAAAACCTTCCTGAGTTGCAGAAAAATTTACATTTTATACAGACAGGCTAGAATTGTATACTGGTGAAAAGCACATTATTTGAACCTTTTTCCAAAGAACAATACTATGGTCCTCTTTGCATGACATACTTAACAGCATCAAAGCATGGGAGCAACATATCTGCAAAGAATTCAGCACAGACAAGGGTTAGAGCATATTAGTTGGAGTTGTTTGGAGCTAAATTAACTAACATGGTAGCGCCCTCTCATCCAGCTACCTGAACAGTCAAAATCTTAGAGCAGTCCCATAAAGCAGGTACTCCTAGCTATTCTGTCTTTGGTTTACCTTTCTGCCACCTTGTCTGACTATACAAGGGCAGATGGACAAGGAGAGAATCTCCTTTTGGGTGGCCCTAAACCTGTGGTGACCCTCACCTTAATCAGGCCACCACAGATTTTTCTTAAAATATGTGTTTGTTCTATGCAAAAATGCAAATCAGGAAAATGCATACTTTCCAACCTGCTGCTCCCTATTCACTAACATGTGCGTGATTATGTGCCTCCAATGCACTGAAGTATTTAGCTTGGAGAACAACTAACAAGCTGGCCCATTCTTGAAAACATGGCTCATGGAAAAGTTTTTAAATATGACAATAAGGCTTCATTGACTTCAGTATAAAATGTAAAAGCTCTGTGTTACGCATCTCTGGAACGATCCTTTGTTTCTTATGGGATTTACTTGCTTCTTCAATCTGACATGGGGTCTAGGTGACATAAACATTCCAAGTTATAAAAACAAATTATAATAACAAATACTAATAATACAAACAAAACAGTGCCCATCCTGATACTGATGGCTCCACACTGATGAACCTCCAGAGGATTTCTGGAAAAGCCATGTTTTTACTAGCCTGTTGCAGATAGGAGCAGGATGCAAGTCCCAGGGTGGCTTGTTTGGGTTGACTGATTATATTTAAATGGTAACCCATCATCTGACACAAAATTGGAGACTGTACACTTGGCACTGCCAAAAATGTAGTCACCTCTTGGGATCTAAGAAGCCTATCCTCAAGATGTTTTGGGACTCCAGTTCCCATCAGTCAGGCCACAGGTTTCCCCCCACTTAGCTGCATTCAGATTATAATTTTCTTTCCTATAAGATCCAAAGATGCACTTTCCCTCTCAATTCCTTCTTGCCTAACAAATATGTGCGGTATCTTGTGCATGAGAATTATTCCCACAATTAGCATTTCTGAATAATTAGAGCACACCAGAGTTAGCCATGGAAATCAGTGTACATGCCATTTCTTCCAGTACTAAGAAGGGAAGGTTTGTACTCCTTTGCAGCTCCAGGTGGGCAGAAGAACCTTTACTGCACCCATGAAAGCTTGCCATACCTGTAGAGCAGTGTTGTCCAAACTTGGCCACTTTAAGATGAGTGGACCATGCTGGCTGGGGAATTCTGG